ATTGACCACAGATCCTGGATCGTATGTCACCTCCAACCAGACGCTTTTGAAAATTGTTTGCCAGAAGAGCTTTCAACGTTCTCTTTCTACTTCCCTCAGTCCCACGTGACATGGGTGTTTATTTCATAGCTCCAGATGTTTTTGAGTAACCTTACGACTCGCACGTTTTACTCGGGCTCTGAACCAACCCATGACATAAGAACTTACTGTGTTTGTTCACCCATCCGAGCCATGCGTGCAAGTTTAGGTGGACCGTGACCGTCAAAGACTTTATCGTCGGTGTGAAAAGCAATCCTTCTAAGTCCGTTAGGGTACTTTTTACACCAAAGACAAAACACTTGTTTTTGTTGTGTTGTTCCTATCAGGAATAAGGAAAAGAAGGAAAATGTTGCAAGCCTTGACCATAGCTTTAAACTGCATAATTTTAGTGATGCTGATAAGGTGCATCTTTTACAGTGCTTTGAGAGTGTGTGGAAATCGAAAATTCTGAAAATTTAGACTGAAGTGGATTGCTTGCGACATAGATTTTATAGTCTGCTTGTCCAGCCCATGTGGATGGAAAGTGATAAGAGCGGTGCACCCTCATCCGATTCTACAATCCAAAAACAAAAAGACAAAACGTAAGTAAGAGTAAACTTGAGCACTCCATTCAGAACATACTTGACCCACTTCGCAAACCCGGGATTCTCCATTCTTTGGGGGACATAATAATGTAATTGCATTGACATGACATCGAAAGAGAGGCGTGGGTGGCCCAGAGAGAGGGAGGCTACCGGACCCATAATCGTGAGATTGCCGGTTCGGGAATCCGAACCTCAGTCAAGGCGAGCTAAATGCAACCCGAGATGATCTCTGCAGAACAAGCCCGAGTGGCGTTTAGTTTTCTGGGATCCCCCAACTGATTTTCTTTTCATTATCTCACAACAGTAAAACGTTTGCTTACTTAAAAGTTTGGGTATTTCAGACTCAATAAAAATATTAATGGATCCAAAGTTCGAGGAAGATCAAGTTAAAGATGGATCGACGGAGTCAAGGAGACCCTCCAAAGGAACAATGTGGCAATCTAAGATGAACGTCCGACAATTGCCCCTCCCCCCAACACCTCTCGGTATAAGTATAAGGGGACATAAAAAAACACAGTTACATTTATAATACTAATGATAATAACTGTAATAAAAACAATAAAACTAATATTAATAGAATGATGATGATGATGATGATGATGATGATGATGATGATGATGATGATGATGATGATGATGATGATGATGATGATGATGATGATGATGATGATAAAGTACATGATGGTACTACTACTACTACTACTACTACTACTACTACTACTACTACTACTACTACTACTACTACTACTACTACTACTACTACTACTACTTCTACTCATTATTGCCTTTTCACTCTGGGTCAGGATATAGGCCACGAACAAACACGTTCCACCTTTCCCTATCCTGGGCGAGTCGCTTGATGTCACTCCCACTTTTCTGTACATCCATTTCCGTGACTCTTCTCCAGGCTCCACGTGATCTAACCTTTGATCTTTTACCCTGTGGGTTCCAATCTAACACTTTCCTTGTTATTATGCAGCTGCTTGACTTCCTGAAAGTGTGTCCAATCCATAGCCAACGCCTTCTTTCCGTCTCATCTCTGACTGGGTTCTGTTTCGTTCTTTTTAATGCTTCCTCGCTGGTGATCCTGTCCGTCCATCTGATCAGTAGCTTCCTAATAACACTTGTTAAAGAAAACCTGGATCCTCTTTATGCACGTCTGAGATGCGTTCCATGTCTCACATCCATATAACAGGACTGACTTCACATTTGAGGTAAAAATCCTCGACTTCGTTCGTAATGAGATATCCCTCGTCCTCCAAATCCTGTTCAAAGAAATAAATGCAGTCTGCGCCTTTCCTATACGGGACTTTATTTCAGCGCCAGTTCCTCCCTCTCTGTCAATTATACTCCTAAGATAGCAGAAGGATTCGACATATTCTAGTGCATTTCCCTCTACTGTGACCTGCTCCTTTCGTAGTGCATCTATCCTTAGAACTTTTGATTTTCCTGGGTGGATCCTCAATCCAACAGACTCTGATAGGCTGTTTAAAATGGTGGTCTTTGCTTGCATCTGTTCCTGAGTGTGTGACAGAAGCGCCAAGCCATCTGCAAAATCCAGATCGTCCAACTGTGTCCATGGGGTCCACTGTATGCCGTTTCTAAGTCCTCTGGTGGTTTCCTTCATCCGCCAGTCGATAGCGAAGATAAAGTGGAAAAGTGATAGTAAATATCCCTGTCTCACACCGGTCTTGATGTCAAAGCTGCTAGTGAGCTGGCCATCATGACAATAACCCTGCAACTTGTCCCTTCGTACATGCTCCTGATGAGGTTAACCAACTTCTGTGGGATTCCGTAATGTCTCGGTATCTTCCACAGTGTTGCTCTGTCTGTACTGCTAAAGGCCTTCTCATAGTCAAGAAAGTTGACGATCAACAGGGAGTGCCACTCTAGGGACTGTTCCACAATGATCCTCAGCGTATCAATCTGGTCCGTAGTAGACCGATTTTTCCGAAAACCAGCCTGTTCATCCCGAAGTCTTGGATCCGTTGCAGACTTGATTCTCTCCCGAACGATTCTGTTGAAGACCTTACCTGGTATTGAGAGAAGAGTGATTCCTCGGTAGCTGCTGCAGTTGCTGAGATCTCCCTTTTTAGAACGTTTCACTAGGTGCTCTTCTTTCCACTCCTCTGGGAACTTAATGCTCTCATTCCAGATCCTGGTAAACAACGAGAGAAGGAGGTCTGTCGTCACAATGGCATCTGTTTCTAGGGCCTCAGGTGGTATCTGATCAGGGCCGGCCGCTTTACCGATGATGATGACGATGAATCGTTTATTATCATTATTATTAGTAGTAGTAGTAGTAGTAGTAGTAGTAGTAGTAGTAGTAGTATTATTAATAATAATGATAT